TGTAATTTTCAAATGAAATCATGTTCGGCATACAGGTGATAGTGTGTATGTGAATGGTTGAATGTTTTGAGGGCATGGGTCACACCTTCGAGGTTAATGTCATAAATTGTGTAATAATCAAATAAAAAAACACTCCGTCGCGAAAATAAAATAGAGAGAACGTATGGTAAGGACGTGGAAGCACGTGTTCGTACAGGTTGGGTGAATATCACTGGGGCACGGTTGGCACAAGGGGGCAGGTAAGTCAAAATAATACACGGCGGGTCTCCGCAACTCCATCAAGTAACTGCATGGTGGTCATCTCCCTCCAATAAACACACTCGTCGAATATCGCGCACCTGTTCACCGGGAGATGTTTTCAATTTCACTGATTTTACTAGTCGGTCTTAGTCCGTGTGGCTTTCTATGACTACACCCAGTGGCCAGTTGTCCCGATGTAGCTTTTCGTCGGCCATAAGGACAACGTCTCCAACCTTCAGTGACCGTTTTCTATGCAACCACTTCTTTCGAGCTTGAGGGGTTGGCAGGTACTCTCTTGTCCAACGCTTACAAAGCACCCCTGCCAGGTAGTTCGCATGCTTCCAACCTGAGATATAGCAGCCACTAATAGTTTTTGGCATGTCTAAGCCGGTATTGAATCTCAGCAGCAGGTCATTGAAGGTAAACGCCAGTCCTTGCCTGTCGTCGATGGTGACGGGTACAAGCGATCGGTTGTTGAGTATTTGTGCCGCCTCCACCAAGGTTTTGTCGTCCGGAGCCTGTTGTTCGCATAACGCTGTTAATATATTCCGTACCGACCGTATAGGCCAATCCCAAACTCCCCCGCGGAGACTGATGTACGGTGGGTTGAAGTGCCATTGGGTTCCAGGGCGCATTTGTCTAACCGCGTCAACCAGTTGCTGAACTCCTTTTGTGCACCGACGAAATTGGACCCGTTGTCGGAGAACACATTCGATGGGTTGCCTGGTCTACCCACAAATCTCTGCCAGGCCATAAGAAAGGAGTCGGTCGATATCCTGTGTACGGTCTCTATACGCAAGGCTCGTGACTGTGGGCAGGCCATCAGGCATCCGTATCGTTTCTCCATCGACGTCTCTCGTCTCACTTAAATAGCCCGAAGTGGTCCACCCCAGTTTCGGCGAAGGGCCACCAACCTGGTCGTACTCGGGAACTTGGTAACGAGGCCATCAGTTGCTTGCTGAATGTAGTATTCTGCCGACGACAAAAGAGACAGTTGCCCACAATGCGCTTCGCCGTATCTCTCACTTTCACTATCCAAAACCGACGGCGAATCGTATTGAGTAGGTGGTTTTCACCGGCAACGTAATGAACGTCGATCGGAGTCACGATTCCCCTTGCATAACCTCTGAAGCTCCGAAGGGAAGGCTTGCAATTGAACTATGCAAACAATAGCAGCTTCCGCTGTTTTAAATTCATTTGGAACGATGGGCCCAATATTCAAGGTGTCGTCAGGTCGGGGTCCTTTCATAATAGCCAGTTGTCGTTTGAACGTGGTTCACCAGAAAACCATCCTCATGACCTACGTCCATCGTAAAAACCGATGCAGTTTCTGCAGTAAGATGTCGGTTAAAGCAGTGACTAACGTAACAGTCCGCTTAGTCTCTAGTAACTCCGTTGTGACAGGGGAACTTTGAGTGTCGGGCCATTCGCTGGGCTGGTCTGCCAAGAACGCCGGTCCATGTAACGATGGTTTTCTCTCCAAGTTCAGCACACCCCTGGAGCAGTAGTCGGCTGGATTGTCACAAGATTTTATGTGCCGCCATTGACACACCTCCGTTTCTTCGTGAATGACGGCTAGTCCGTTGGCAACAAATGTGCTTAAGCGCGTCCGTACACTGTTACCATAGTAGAGAACTATGGCGGAATCAGTTCAGTAAGTTACGGCCCATTCAATCGAGTCAAAACATCTTTTGAGCACCTTTGCTACCTTCATGGCTAATACTTCTGCGACCAGTTTTAGCCTGGGTATTGACACTGCCTTTAGAGGGGTGACCATGGTCTTTGCGAACAGAATACAACTATGCCTCCTTCTACCTAGCCGAGACGAGCAACTCTAGGCCACTACCCCGTATCTCGCTTTCGACGCGTCCACAGAAACATGTAGCTTACGTGCCTCCCCTCGGCGTTTCTGGTATGGGACGAGGGTGCCGTATGTCGCCCAGCTTGGACAGGGTCATTCACCAGCCTTGCTAGGTCTTGTGATCCGCTTCGCAAAGGGCTTCATTGAAAGTATTTTTTTTTCCACAAGTCCTGCAGCAGAATCCTGTCTGGCCGTGGTCACAGTGCGACGAACCCCATTGGGTCGTAAAGGCTGGACAAGGAGACAGAATCCCTCTGCCAGTCGCCATCTTCTCAGGTAGCAGCAGTTGGAACAAAAGCGCATCGTTCTCCGAATTCTATTGCACGCCAAGTGCCCTATCTGTTGGTAACAGGCTTCCCCGCAAGCCACGGAGACAAAGTGACTGTTCCTCAACCTGGATGCAGTGGATTGCTTGACGACTGCTAGACATTCACTTGTTGAACTTGAACAGTAGCAGCAGCAGCAGCAGCAGCAGCAAAAGCTTAGATAAATCCCTAATGTTTCGAACTGCTTCCTCAATGCCATCAAAGGATCCCAAGAAGTCGTCCACATAAAATTTGTATTTAAAACAGGAATCAACCGGGGTTTGGAAACACTGAGCAATTTGATTCACGGTCGTTTTTAACGCGAAGTTTGCACAGAAGGGAGAGGAGATTGCGCTAAAAGGGTGCATCATCATCCGATATTTTTGAGCAGGTCCATTTGGGTCTCCTTCCGGCCACCACCACAACCGTGAAGCATCCCTTTGCCCTTCGGGGACTTTAGTCTGCATGAAAATCTCCCTGGCCTTTCCATGACAGTAATGCAGCAAGAACAGAAACCTTTGTTCTGCATCGGCCGTTATGCATTCAACGGAATTTTCGTATTGACGAATGAATTGGCAATACTGTTTGCAATTTCCGTCAAGTGGTGTCATTTCGACTCTTGACAGATCCACGTTCACATGGGCATATGTTCTTTGATTTGGGACGGATTCTTTATTAGGAGACAAGTAACCATGTGTAACCTCAGCTCAAGGCGTTGTTGTGCCGTTGAAATCGGTGCTTTCACTTTTGGCCTGTTCTATCTGCTGTCTAGCTAATCTCAAATCATGCGCTAATTCAGAAACCCGCAATCTAAAGATATCAATGTCCTTAATATCTGATTCTACACGTCAAACAGCTCGCACAGGATTAACTGACCTAACAATTTCTAAAGAATCAAAATGACCCACAGCCCCCCCAGTGACTTGCCAGGCTACTTCCAGTTGGGTTCCAGTTTCCTTGATTCCTCGTCTGAGCATCTTCGAAATAGTTTTCTCGTTTGATTCCAATTTTACTACCGTGTGTCAACCAATTTGCACTTAAGTGACGCGTAGCCGAAACCGATGCGGATCCCGAAATAAAACACGATTGATCCGCAATGTTCTACGGTACTGAATTAGGGAAATCATTACAAAATGTACAACAAAGGAAAACTCAAATATGCGGCGAAAAGCGTTCAAGCAATCAAGAACCAAATAGGACATCCAGCAAGAGCCAACAGATTGATCACGTTTTCTATCCACGCCAAATTGAAACATGGTGGACAAGGAGTCAACAGATAAACAATTGTATAGGAGTGTATGTGAGTGAGAATGCGCCAATAAGCAGGTAACGCAAAAACAGTGTTACGTCAAATGTAATCATTGTGTTTTGAGATGGATTTTCAAAAAATCAACGTAAATACAGTGGGCGCTACTAGAGTGAATCCATTCGCGTACGCTTGTGCAGCATGTAAGGGAACCCACTCGGTTCCGTTTGAACCAGAGGCCCTCAATCCTTGACTTAGCTGTATCTCATGCAAGGTCAGATATCGTTAGTCTCATGATAGAAGTCTCCCTGGGCAGAAGCGACCAGGCGGTCCTTCAGGTAAGAGTACTGGCGCAGTACACCAAGCCAGGGATCAAAATGGTTTGCTTGTGTGGGAGTGTCCACGAGGAGAGTCTTGAAGATATAGCGTTAGGTTTCAGCTGGGAACCGTCAACAGCTGAGCCTACCTTTGAAGAGAGATGGACTGCAAATGAAGACAGTTCGATGAGGCTCGCCGAAAAGTTTGCCTCCATCCCGAGGTGCAGGTGACTCAAACAACGGTCACCATGGTGGAAACAATGTTTAGACACGGCTCTGGCCCCAAGGAGTCGAAAGTGGGCGCTGTACAAACGGCTCAGTTCGATCAGGCATGGTGTAACTACAAGGCAGCAAGAAACCATGCGCAGGCTATGCAACGAAGGGCCAGGTACGACTATGAAAATGGGATTGCGATAAAAGCAAAACAGAACCCAAAGAGGTTCTATGCTTACGTTCAATAT